CTTAGCCGATACGATGAGCACAGAAAAAGAGAAGACTTACGGTATTAAAATCAAATGTAAGTTATGTGATCTTCATCAAAATAAAATATGTTTTATTTTGATGAAGATCACATAACTTGCTTACGGTACTGTTTTATAAATAATAAAACAATGGTACCGTAAGGGCAGCTGCCCTATGCTTTATAAATAACACATGTCATGTTAAAATATTTTAACATGTTACTATATTTTAATTAAATTGATATATAAATAAAAATAAAAATACAGTTCAATAAATAAATTAAATTTGTTCTTAACAAAGACTTTCTCATATCTATTCTTTTTTTATTTTATTAAGTTAAATTGCTCACAAACGAAAAAAAAAAAGTTTTTTTTTCGTTTGTAAGTAGAATGAAAATACGTAGAATGAAAATACTTTTGAGTTTGTTTATAAGTTAAGCAACTTAATTTTTAATAAACAATTTTTTACGAACGTTTATTCTAAACAGATACGATTCAAGTTATTGAATATTTTTATATTACTTTAGTTGAGTATTTTTTTAAGTTTGCACGATTAAAGTTTTGCGTAAAAGTATTTGTTTTTTGTTTTAAGAATAATTAACAAAAAAGTTTGCATAATTAAGACTTTTATATTTAATTTAATTTTTTCTTTTTAATTACGTAAAATTTAAAAGAAAAAGATTTAATTGTTAACAACGATTTTTCTATATAGGTCTGTTTCATTGTGATTTGTTTAAAATATAAAACATTTTTACATTAACATAAAAAATTTATGAATAAAATTCCTGGCGAATGCGTTCTAAACTATGTATCAAAAATATGCTCAAAGCAGACAAAACTTTCTTATATTTTCATATAACGCAAGTTGAAACGCCAAGCAAAGTAAATTTAAAAAATATTTTAAACCCTAAATTATTCTTTGCTAGTCAAAACAAAATCGCTGTTTAAATAATTAACACTGGTTTTTGTTTATCAATGTTAATATTTTTTGTTTACTCCAGAAATTTTGAAAAATAAAAAAATCATTATTTTTTATTCAATAACGATTTATAAACAATAATTATTCAAAAACAAATTTCAGAAATAATAATAATATATACATACTTTTTTTTTTTTTACTAAATAATATTGAACTAAAATTAATAACAAAATAACAATTGAAATCATGACAAACTTTTTATAATAAATTTTCATTTAAAACGCTTATAGTTATTTAAGTTAATTGTTAAATTGAACTAGTTAGCGGTTATTTATTTATTGCGGTAGTTGAAACACTTAACGTCTATAAAAAAAAATAATAATAATTTTATGACGTAAAAATCGTCTTAAGCTAATGCATTAAGCACTTTTTTATTTAAAACAAGGCCTGCATACTGTAAGATTATATAATTTACCTATGTAACGTGATGTAACATGATGTTTTGTAACATAACATAACATTTTTGAACTAGTAAACAGATATATATGGACTAAGTTTGTTTCTCAAGCAATATGAATAATATTAATTATATGTTTAATTGAATTTTTTATTTAATGATCAAACGGTTGATGCAATAAAAAAATCAATGTCATATTCAGACAAAAAAATTTTGATTAGCAAAGAGAAATATCTTTTTTGTTACATTGTGTAATCATTTAAATGCTTATCAAAAACATTCAGCATTTACTATCTGTAGCAGAAAACGATGTAACCCAAGTGAAAAGTCTTTGTCGGTCTATAAGTTGAAAAAGAAATACCTGTTTAACTTTTTTTCTAGGTCTTTAAAACTAAACATTTTTTAGAATTCTTTAATAGTATATATAACTTAATAATTTGAAGACTCTTTATTTTATAATTAATTTATTTCTGGTTTTGATTGATAAAGATTTAACTACAGCAGGTTATTTAAGATTTTGTCAAAGCGCTATTTTTTATTTAAGTTTTTTGAAAATTTCATCTACTAAAACAATAAAAACCTGCAACATTTTAATTACTTTAAATATTGTTTTTCATTTTCATTTATTTAAATACTGTTGCTATATCTTTAACATTGTTACTACATTCCTTATACAAAAAAAAAATGTATTTTATATAACAATATTTGTAAGAAAAAAGCAATTTTTATGGGTATTTGCTTTTTTTCCTAAATATTTTAGTAATTTGGTCACAATGGAATGAATGGTCAGAGTGTTATGCATCTGGTATGACAACTCGAACTCGCATTTGTAACACAAATCAGTGGATTACATGTTCTGGAGAGAGCTTGGACAATAAAACATGTACTTATTTAAATAAAGGTATTCTATTTTTTTTTTTTTTTTTTTTTTGTTGTGCGCTTTTTTATCGTCTTTGGATTTTATTTTTGATTTACGGAAAAAAAAGTAAACATTACATACAAATGTCTTTTTACTTATTTTGTGTAAAATGGTTTTGGAAAGAATTTTTTTACCCTAAATATTTTATATTGAAAAAAAATCTAAAAAAAACTTTGATCTTTTTAATCCTAAGTTTTTTTTGCATTATTTTATTAAAAAAACATATTCAATTAAAAAACTGCAGCTATTTTATACAAACTACTTTTATATTTTATATAAGCTATTTTTATTTCTAAAATTTTTAAATTTTTTCTAATAAAACAATGCATGTTTTTGTGAAAAGCTAGTTTAAAACTATAGGATTAAATTTTTGAAATAGAACTTAATTTTTAATAAATGTTTAACGTGATAATAGTTATGTATAGAAAGTAAATGAATAAAGGTAGTAAGCAATTAAAAAAAATCTTATATGAGTTAATTATTTTTTTTGGAAAGTTAATTTTTGTCTTTCAAAAGTTCCTTTAATGAAAGCAAAAAACTTCTTTTAAAAAATAACAAGGCAGTATTGAGTTGATGTTTTAATAATGTCATTATAAGTGTTATGTATTAAAGTTTTGTGTTAAATATAGTTAAAATGCCATAAAACAAAAGACCTACTAAAAGTTATTAAATTAAAATTATAGCATGACAAAAATCATTATGGTTAAATAAAAAAAATAACATAGCTGCACAAAAAAGTAATAAACACATTTGACTGTTTTTACAAGAATATGTTTTTATTGCATTTTTGTTTACCTACTCAGTAGTAAACAATATCTCTTTTTCTAAACAATCTTTCTTTTCTAAAACAATCAATCTTTTTCTAAAACAATCAATCTTTTTCTAAACAATCTTTCTTTTATTAATTAGAATTTAAAATTCCAGTTTCATTCTAACTGTTGTCTAATAAATAATAAAGTAAACTTTAAATCATAACTGAACAAAGTAAGAAAACTATGACAGTAAATTAAAAAAATAACAATAATAAACGAGAATAATATATTTTTGTTATGTGAAGTTTTTTATTAACCTTTCTTGTATAAATGTTGGTTAACTTTAGGAATACAAATAATTAAAAGATTTAATTCTAAAACACAAAAAATAAAGTTGGCAATGCGAAAAGCAAGGTTTTTTGTAATAAACATTGATTTACCAAAAACTTCGACTTTTGCTTTTATCAAAAACAACATCAAAAATAAAACAATCTTTTAAAGATTGTTAATAAAATGTAAGATGAAAAAGCGAAGTAAGGAAAATAAAAATAGTCAAATGGTTCAAACCTATCTTTCTGCCATCTGTTGAAGCAAACTGAACTTTAGGAACAAATACTCTGACAAAAAAATGAAAATATTTGCAATCAAGGTATATATTTTTTCATACATAAACCATCAATTCAGGTTTATTGCACCGTCTTGCATTGAGAACTGAATTTATAAGTAATACTACAACTTTAAAACTTCATTTTCTGAAAACGATATGAATAAATATTTTGAATTTTTTAAACAAGTTATAAAATATAGAGTTTCATTTAAAATAACAATAACTTTTTATTAATGTATTATTA